TTTTAAATGGACATTTTTATTCCTGGTACTGAGAACCATAGTAACAACACATAAAGACTGTGACTTTTTTTTCATTGATTTGGTAAATGAGGTGCAGCAATAAAGCCAAGAACTACAGTTCTTCATACTAAGAGACTGGAAAAAGGCAGAAGCTATGGAAACACGATCACAGATCCAGACCAGCCCTTCAATGCAGTCAAGATGTTCAAGGTAAAGCAGGAAAAAGAGCATTTGCTCCCTGCAGAAAAATGGGTGTGGGAGGTTATAAGGAGTATCTTTTGATCTCTTCAAGAACCTCTTTGTTCTTCAAAGCAGCTCGAAGTGAAAAGGACAAGATGAGGCTTGGGCTGGCAATGGCTGACATCTCTCAGACCCTGCCCCACTTGTATCTCCCTCAACAATGGATGTCTGGACGCGGTAGTTTACAGGGAACTTCCTGCAGCAACATCCAGCGCCGGGCGGCGGGACAGGCAGTGTTTCTGGGCAGGAATGCCCCCGCCGCAGGCGCGGCCCGGGGCCCGGCACTGCCCCCAGCGCCGCCATTCGCACAGGGGCCGGCCGCGCCCAGCAGCGCCACCTGCCGCCCCTGCCGGGCAGCGCCGCTCTGCCCCCGGCCCGGACGGGCCCGTCCCACACACCCGCGGGAGAACGCCCGGGCAGGGAAACACCGCACACGATTCCTCAGCGCCAAGGAAAAAAGACATAAATCAGATAACATCACATATTTCTGCCTGCTTGGGGTTTTAGTTTGGCTTTTTGTGGTTTCAGGCTTTTTCCCCCTCAGTACTGGTTCTAACACTAATACAAGAATCAAGTACTTTGTCCCCATTTTTGCTTTCTTTGCCAATCTGCTTCAAATTGTCCCAAATCTCTTCTCTACGTGGCCCCCCCTCCACCCCCTTAAATACACTACTACCTTTCCCTGACTGTCATTTCAGCACTTAATTCCTTAAAAATCAGCTAATATCCTTCTCTTTCCTCCATCTTCTACTTTTGAAAGAATTTACAACATTGTCAAGAAGGGTCGTCCATATATCAAAGAGGATATTAAACCAGCAGGTGTATAAAAATGCCTTGGGTATGGCTATTCATCTCCCTCCTAATACTACATCTCATTTGCTCAAAATCTTAATGGTTTTATAAATGTATATACAAAAGCTCCCATCTTATCATAAGAAAGGCAGGTAAACATCTCAAGTCTGCAAGTAATGACTGAGAAGCTCACTTTAGAACAAGCAACAAGCCAGCAGCAGAGACAGAAACTAGCAGTCCTAAATCATTGAACCTTCACCTCCAACCCAACAGCATATTTTTTTCTACCCAAAAGAATTTCTTTTTCTAACATTCTGCTCCTAAAACCAGAATATATTCATCAGTTTCAGTCCCACCGACTAATCTATTTTGATTGTGTAAGAAATCTCACATAAAAAAACTTGCATTTACCCTATTAACCCAAACATCTTAAAAATCCCTTGCACATTCTCAAGAAAATGGTTTGTAGGAGGAAAGCTGGCCCTGCAGTCAGATGCACAAAAGCATTATGCTCTGAATTTGGATATCACTGCCAGAATTCTTCCCTGAAAATCAGCTCCACCCATTTCAATCTAAAAGATACAGCCTCAGACAATGCTGGGTGTGCAAAGAATACTTCCTAATCCATGAGAGCATCTACTGCAAAGTAACTATGGTATATATAAGGGGAAGAGCAGATGTTTAAATAACTTCAAGATGGCCACTTGAAGTGCACTTTTCACTCAAAGCTACTACAGTCAAAGTAAGTACAATCTTCCAATAACTACTTCACAGATTTATGAAATTCGAAGGCAAAAATTAATCATAAAATTAACTGTGTGTAACAGACTGGGAGAAGGAAAAAGGGTGGTATCAAAGTAAAAGGTCTGTGATAAAAATCAAACTGTGTGTCACTCCAGCCAAGCAGATGCTGCCACAACTGCTTCAGGAACACACTGCGTGGAACAGATTCCTTGCAATTTATAGAGGGAATGAAAGCTCACCCCAACTTTCAGCTGTAGCCCCCTTATCCTGCTTAAGGCAGGCCTTACTCCAGCAATCACACAGCAGCTTCCTTCCCTCCCCAGCACATGCAAACCTATTTCCTCCCACATTCCTTCAATCTGCAGTACACCTCTAGCAGCTGCTCTAACAAAAGCACTCACTGTGCTCTTTTCTACTTTACATCATGTATGAATATGTTTTATTGAAATAACAGGGAATTCAGCCAGTCAGATCAGCTGTCTAGAGAGATCTGGAAATCTTCTCTGAAGACCACTCTTTTTGCCTTGAAGGAGCTGTTCTCTTCAGAGAAGATTAGAGACCTCCCTCTCCCTCCAGGAATGGGAGATTGGTCTCCATGGCTCATTTACTCGTTCTCCTGTCTTCAAAACCCAAAAGCAGGAGAAAAATAGACTCATTTCTTTTTCTTTTTCACCGTGATGTATTTCCCTTAAGATGAAGCAAGAAACCCATTTTTAGGAGATACTGATTAATTCATGTATTATTGATAAATGCTTAAGATAAAAGGTATCTAGTATGCAAAAAAAATTCAATATTCTTTTTGTTCACGATGCAACTACTCAATGCTTTTGTAAATTAAAAAGTCTGGGTTGTGTCTTCCCTATGGGAATAATGAATGGAATCCCAGATGTTTATAGCATCAAGGATCAATGTGATCTAGTTATTCCACCTGCTCAAGCTGTGATCTGATGTTGCAGCACACACCCACTGCCTACAGTGGGATCTGGGAAACACTTTAGTGGAACAGTTATCACCAGCAGCCCCTCCCAGAATCACCCCTTTTTTAGAGCTTGGCTCAGACCCTCAGTTACAGCACTGTGCAGATAACACAAACTCCACAGTTTTCAGTGTTTAAAAGAGAGGTAAAACCTAACCTTAGTTTTAGCATACCTCTAGACATGTTTAATTCTTACATCTGAGATACTGACAATAAAAATCTCAGGGAATTGAGAAGGAATGAGCAAAAGACTGACAGTCACAACCACCATGGGAAAAGGAGAACTAGGAAAAACATTGCTCCAAGCACCCGCCTGACTATGAGTAACATTAACAACACCATTAATGTTTATCCCTCAATACTCATTTTCAGAACAGTGCTATTCAAGCTGGAAAAGGTATTTTGACTTCCTTTTCATCATAAATTAGCTAAGGCTTGCAACTGAGTACACATTTCCAAAGAAACCAATCATCTCTACCATTACAGCACTTTCTAGAACGGCTGGAAGGATGCATTTCAAGACAGTGAAGACCTAAGAATGGTTGGCAGATGCCTGCAAGTTATCTCCTTCAGGAGACACCTCAAGGCAGAGCTGAATTACAAAGTCAATCTCAGATGGCAGACCAGTTAAACAGCTAATGAACAGTTGTCCAGCACATGACCCAGCATGTAATCCATCATACACTATCATGGAAATCTCTGTCTCATCTTAATGAGAAGAGAGCAGCATTTGAAACACCCCAAAAATAGGACTTTATATGTCATAGGGAGAGCAGGTCTGCAAACAGTTCACAGTTGTTTCGAGCATAAAGCACAAGTGAATTTTTTTCCACACAAAGATACCATAATGATGATCATCTTAAGAAAATGTTACGAAATATGTATGGATGATGAATATATCACATGGTGATAGAGAAAAGAACTGACATCTTTAGAAAAATAAATCCAAGATAAGTCAACTTGCTCCTGACAATGCTGCTTCATGGTGATGCTTAAGGCCAACATCAAGAAAAATTCCTCTTTTACGTACCAGAAACTAGTTTTCCTAAGACTGTCACATAACTGTTTGAGAATCTTTGGAAAGAACACATTTTTAAAAGCTGAAGAATCTGAAAAATTAAAGTATTTATTTAAATGCGTTTTATATAATATATTGAAAAGCTGCAGCACAATCTGTCCACTGCTGCTGCATTATCATCCACCCTGTACACATGCATCAGAGAATTGAAAGTCTCTGCAGGCAGGTGAACCCCAAGCACACCTCTTTGAAAGCACATCACAGTATCCGCCTCCTTTTCCCTTTGAGATTTGTAGACTGCAACAGCCAAAGGACATGGGAATATATTAATTGTTCCCATTCATTCCCACCCCTGCAGACGGGCAACTGCACTCCCCATGATGGCTTTCATCTCCTTGTCTCCACCTTTGCACTGAGTGATGTTCAGGATGCTAGCAGCAATCCTCCCAGGAACAGCTGCCTCTGAAAGGCGGACATCCACACCCCCCATCTTTCCTCCTCTGTGCTCACGCTTGCAAGTAGAAGGCAAGATTTCTCATTCACACACCCCACTTCCCCATCACCACCGAATAATCCATTCTCTTTCCTCCCTGCAACATGAGCTCAATACTGGTCAGTATCAGCCATCCTCCTACTTTGGTCCTGGTATTTTTTCCAACAACAGGCTCTCAGCTTTTTCACGCCCCTCCACTGTCCCTGCGTGCGCACGCACGCCCGGCTGAAATAAAACAACCATTTCCTCCCACATCAGCTGCTTTTCCACCTGTGCCAGGTTCCCCCGCAGTGTGGCACAGTAATACCCCCTCTCCTCCCCGATCCGTGTGTACACAGCCAGTTTTCCCTCCTCCCTTCCCCCACCCCACAGTCTCCGTGCATGCCTCTCCCAGCGCCTGGAGTGGGGGAAGGGAAACATGCACTGCGTGAATGAATGGGCTGAAGAGACTTACCAGAAATTTGGGGAGGAAGGAGTGGAAGACGAAAAGGACACTAAAGATGGGTGTTTCCTTCGGCGTGCCAAGTGCCGCTTCAGTTCTGGCTCCCTTAAGGAGGTCACGTGTCTTGCTAGGTACCCCTTTTCCTGGATCCTCGACTAACCAAAAAGGGTGGCACGGAAGTGTTCTGGGTGCCTCCCTGCACTACACCCCAAAGGAGGGAAGGGTACTACTGACGCTCCCAAAGCAAGCAAGCAATGGTAACGCTCTCCTGGTCCTGTCAGGCACTGTCTAGCGGATGCCTCTGGGACCAGGGTAGATTTCTGAGGGAGGGAAGCGGGAGTAAATGAATGTTTAAAATAATTCCCAAATTGGTCTCCCCTACGGAGCAGGGAAGGATGGGAAGGAGTAAAAAGAGTACTGGTGAAGAGCTGTCGCTTTCTACGTAAAAGAAACTCAATCCTTGTGTCTCTGCTTCCTCAGAACTAAACCCCTAAATGACTGAAGTCACCAACACCTAGGGAGAAAAAACAAAAAAGAAGAAACATCCCTATTAGACATAAACATACAAAGGCATGAAATAAACTAAATCCCAAAGGAAGAAAAGGTGCTATTCAAAACAGTAAGCAAAGTCAAAAGAAAATGATGACATGAACATAATTAGGGGAAATGTGCAACTTTAAGTATTTTACACAAATATACTATCACAGAAAGCAATTCTAAGGGGGAAAAAGCCCACAAAGCTAAGCAGTTTGTTCTTTTACTTAAAAATGTACATTCAACGGATAGATAAATCCGTACCTACAGGGGAACATGTGAGGAAACTAAGTTTCTAAACCTACAAAAACAATTCCTATTTCTTTGTGAGCCTTTAAACCTTTAAACCTCTCCCCCAGAATAACCCTTAGGATTCAGATGAGACTGGAGAAAAGTACATTTCAGTTCAGAAGCGTGTATTCCTATGCATAAGGAGCATGTACTCCCATGCATTAAAACCCACGCTGCCACAGAAAATAAACAGCGGTTTATAAACGGTGACAAAAAAAAAGGAAAAACAAAAAAAACCCAAACCAAAATAACATGTCTAGAGGATGCTTGCTTAAATTATGGAATCAATCCAAGATTAACAGAGTGGCACGCTTGGAACACGGAGCCCCTGGTAAGATCTCAGGCAGTAAAGGCACCGAGGTGCCACCAGCTCTTTTTTAAACACCGGAAAACAAAAGGGGAGAGGAAACCTAGTTGGGAAGATCTTGTTGCCAGACCCAACGCCAGCCACACACCCCCCTGGCTCCATCACGGGAAGATCAGCCCCCACAGCCACCGCCGATCCCCACGGACCCGTGCGGGGACGCGGCCGCCGAGCGAGCCCGCGGGGCGGCGGCCCCCACCCCGCGCTCGCAGCGCGACCGACCCGCCCGCGGAACGCGGGTCCCGGGCCGGGGGCGCGGCCCCCCCGCCCCTCCCGCCCCTCTCCCCTCGCACCACGAGCGGCCGCCGCCGCCGCTCCCCCTCCGCCACCCACCTGGGCGCCCCGGCGGGCGCGGCGGGGAGGCGCGGGCAGCTCGCCCCGCTCCGCGCGCGGGGGATGCAGCACAATCACCATGGGCGCAGCGCGGCGGGGCGGGACGGCTGTGAGGGGACGGTCCCAACCACCCCCCCGCCCGCCCCCTCCCCGGGCACGGCGGACCCCACCCCCGCGGGCTCGCGCCCGCTCAGCCCGACATCTCACCCGCCCCGGGCACCGCCGAGCCTGAGGGGACCCGCGGGGCGCCCACCCCCACCCCCTCCGGCACCGGGCCTGGGAAGGAGGGCGCGGGGCGACGAAGGCTCCGGGGAGACGCGCCCCTTCCTCCCCGCCGGCGGCGCGGTCCTAGAGGGAAGCGAGCGACGCGACGCGACGCTCTCCTCGTCCCCCCCACCACCACCCCGCCTTCCCCCTCCTCGGTGTCCCTCCTCCCCGCGGCTGAGGCGAGGAGGCCGCGGCTGTTCCCTGCACCGAGCCCCCCGCCCGCCGCCGCCGCCCGCGCTCGCTCCCGCCGCCTCACAGCGAAGCGGCGGCGGTGCCGTAACGGCCGGGCCGGGCTTGGCACGCGCGCGGCGGGCGCGGGGGAGCGCGAGGGCGGCGGCGCCGGGATGCCTCGGACCGGACCGAGCCGAACCGGACTGGACGGGCCCGAACCGGCTCGGCGCGAACCGGCTCGGACCGAACCGGATCGGACCGAACCGGGTGGACCCGAACCGACCTGAACTCGTGAGCGGCGGCAGCACGGCTGAGGTGGCTGAGGCCACTCCTGTGTAACGGCTGAGGCCTCCCACAGAATGGGTCAGGTTGGAAGGACCGCAGTGATCGTCTGGTCCAATGTGCCCACTCCAGACAGAGCACATGGCACAGGGTTGTGTCCAGACAGTTCTCAAATATCTCCAGTGAGGGAGACTCCCAGCCTTTCTGAGCAATCTGTTCCAGTGCTTGGCACCTGCACAGCAAAGAAGTTCTTCCTCATATTCAGGTGGAGCTTCCAGAGCATCAGTTTCTGCCCGTTGCCTCATGACCTAATGGCTGGCACCATCAAGCAGAGCCCAGCTCCATCCCCTTGGAATCCCCTCTTTAGTTGCTTATAGACATTGCTAAGGTCCCCTCTCTTCTCGAGGCTGAGCAGGCCCCACTCTCTCAGCCTTTCCTTGCAAGAGAGCTGCTCTAGTCCCCTCACCATCCTCATTCCCCCTCCAACCTGCTCCAGGACCTTCATGTCTCTCCTTACTGAGGATCCCAGACTGGACGCTGCACTTCAGATGCAGCCTCACTAAGGCCAAGTAGAGGGGCAGGATCACATCCCACGGCCTGCTGACAAAGCTCTTCCTCATGCTCTTCCTCACACCCACTCCTGCCCTTCTCCCCCACCCCAGACTGGGCTTTGGTCCAGCTCTGACTGCCCTGGCAGACCCCAGCCCAGATCCTGCCATGCCCACCCAGTTGGTCCATCTGTCAGTGCAGCAAAACATAACAACACCTGTTGTGCTTGTTGCTGCTGCTGTTGGCATGTGGTGTGCAAACCAGAACTCTTGTACTTCGTGTGACAGGTAAAGGTGTGACAGAACCACAGAATCAATTTGGTTGGAAAAGACCTCTGAGATCACCGAGTTCAGCCTATGACCGAACACCACCATGGCAGTAGATCATGGCACTGAGTGCCACATCCAGTCTTTCCTTAAACACCTCCAGGAGCAATGACTCCCACCACCTCCCTGGGCAGATCTTTCCAATATTTAATCACACTTTCTTGTGTGAAAGTGAAGAAATTCTTCCTAATATTCGGCAGAAACCTTGCCTGGCACAGCTTAAGCCTATGTTCTCTCACCTTATGTCCTGTGACACGTCCCCCATGCCGTACATCATACAACATCATGTGCCTGACATACCCACCGTGTAGCCAGGGCTGCACCATCCCTTGCTGCTGTCACTTCTCTAAAATAATAACTGCTGGCAGCAAACAAATATGACACATCCCCTTTATCAACTGACACACCTTGTTGATCAGTTTCTGTGGTACACCTACTCAGTTTCCTCGGTACCACACCCTTTTCATTCACTATATTGTATCAGCTGTATATTTCACATTTTCCTGTGTGAACTTCTCCATCACCTAGCTTTCAGAACCTCTAGACACAACACTCACACTGCACACCAGGGGAGCAACACGTGTGTTCCTCAATAACCTGTGTTGCACTCCCAGCTTTGCAAATATGGGACACAGCCACTGGTCATTCCCAAACACCCATCCTACCATGAATGTTCCCATTCAACCTACTTTCTTATACCTCTTCAGCATGTGGCAGTGCTGTCCTACCCATCTTAATTCTCTCACCTGAACGACAGTTTGTTCATTTTGTTCTACAAACATCTGCATCCTACTCCCCAAACCTCACATGTGATTCAGGCAGCTCTTCTGAAAACTATTTGCTTAACGAGTATGAGGCAAGGCTACCTCACAGGTGATGTCAGAGGCCAAAATCCCAGACATCATCCAATGCTCTCCCATCTGTTTGTGCTGCTTGCCAAGACTTCTGGCTTCTAGCAGCTGCAAGGTGGAAACCACTTCCAAATTCAGGCTCCCCTTCTTCTGACTCTGTACAACAGTATAAGGAAAAAGATACTATCGCCCACTTCAAAGCCAGCTTGAAAGCACAACTTGAGAGCAGGAGGCAATCGCAGGCAAGTACCAGCAGGGTAAACTAGCAATAGATAATAGATATAGATAAAGAACACCAAAATGCTAGACAGCATTTTTGCTGTTTTGACAGTAGCAAAATACTACTTTTTTGACAGAATTACTACACTCTGAAGCCTCTAGAACAGAGTTCCCATGTGCATGAAGTTCGCACTTTCAAAAGTTGTAATTTCAGGCTGTGAGGTGCACGGGGTTTGTTTACACAGAGAATTTGCTAACAAAGAGCTACTGTGGTATCGCTGCTCTGCTGAAGATTGTGCAACAACTGCACATTGCCAGCATGCACACGTATTTCAGAGTAAGAATTGCATGCTGGTTTTGAGACAGCATAAAGCAAAGAGGAAAGAAAAATGTCTGCATTAGGATTTATGTAACTACTGTGACACAGTAATAGCAGATTTTTTTTTTAAATATATTTCAGTAAGCAGCCAAGTGGTAAGGCAGGTGCCTCTGCTGCTCAAACACAGTTAGCAGTTTGTGGAAAGAGGAGAATTGCACAGCTGGGGAATTCAGGAATGTAGATTTTTGGCCATACACATGCATGTTTGGTTATAAGACATCTGAGAGGAAGTCATTCTACAAGTGCAGGAAAAACACTCGTCATGGTAACAGTAAGATATTTGATCTCAAACCATTCGGGATACTTCAGCTGGGTCTTACAATTATCAGTAACAATTTATTCTGCCAACTACCACTTACCTTCCTAGTGCTCTCTTATGCAAAAATGTAGCCCAGTATCCTTTTTATTGTTGTTCGTTTACCTGCTGTAATTGTATTGGTTGAGCTTTGTCACAGGTTGTATACCCTATATCTCTAGAACAATTTCCTATCATCTAGAAATCTAAGTGAGTTTGGAATGAGTCATGAGAGTCTTTTGCCCTTTCTGGAGAGGTAGAGCATAAGAAAGGGTCAATTTATTGCTTAGGATGTGCCAACCTAAGATGTGCCTACTGCTGCAGAAGCTTTTGAGCTCTTTTTTTAATAAAGAGTTGTCACTGCAACTGAGTTACATGTAGATGTTATAGTTTCCAAGAATTAGGCAAGATCTTTTTTATTATTTCTATTATTTTTAATTTTTTCCTTTTTTCCTTTTTTCTTTTTTTTTTTCTTTTTTTTTTCTTTTTTTTTTTTTTTTTTTTTTTGTGCCAGTGAAGACAAGGTCTCTCCTGTTATCTCTTCTCAGAACAAAATTCTTACTATTTTATTGTGCAAGAACAATATTGGACAGTGCCCCCAGTGTCAGTGGTCCAGAAAGAATACCAAGCTTCACCCTTTAGGGAAGATTTTTAGGGAATAATTTAGATTAGGGAATAATTGTAGTATCAACAACGAATGGATGCCTCTGAACACTAACAAATCCTGGCACCTTTCTTTTGAGATTTTTCCCATGCACTCTGTAATGCGTAATGTAAGGACTGGTCCAAAGCCTTAATGTATGCAAAATCTGATTTCACGGTTGATTCCATGAAACATCTTTTGTCACTGAGTTCACTACAACTGCAAACCAGCTGTTTAGTCCTGAAGCCAAAGCCTGCAGGATATTATCCCATTATTGACATTGTAAAGTTTCATATACTGTCTCTAGTTGAGTGTGTGACCTTGTGATGTAACAATGATGGAAAGTCCAGCCTGCAAATGTTGCTAAGCCTAATTATTTATACTCATTTTCCCATGTGCTGTGTGCTCCCCTGCGTCTTCAGTAGCTACTCATTTGGTCAGCTGAGTCTCATAGCAATGTTTCTGCTTCCCGCTTGGATGACTGAATAGTAAAAAAAAAAAAAATTTAGAAGGCAAGGTATAGGCCTGTGTTCACACATGAATGCTTGGGCTCACATGTGAACACAGATGGTCCATTGAAGGGAAACAACTTCTGGCCTGTGTTTCAACAGGAAAATGGCCGTATCATTCTTGTTTCATACCATGTAAAATGAGGACTATGCCAAGTGGTGCAAATTCATCTTTAATTTCATACAACCCCAGCTTCTCATTGGTTCTGCTGTTACACTAATTCCTGTTCTGAATTAACTATGTAAGATAGAAATGGAGAAACTACTGCTAACACAAAGGACTCCCAGCAAAGGGGGTCTGCAGAAAGTTCCAGGTTTCACTGACTCAGTGCCACACCATGCCCTGCAGACCCCCCAGCTTGCAGGTGGGTCTGTCACCCGTGTGCCTGACTCCATGTGGTTCATCAAACCGAACCCACCCATGTCTCAGCACAAACACAGCCCATTGCCCTACACACACGGGCTTCCCACGCCAGAGGCGGCCCTGCTCCCCATGTACCGCTCCATGCCCTGCTGCCCGTGGCACCGAGTGCCGAGCTGCTCCTCTGCCCCCGCCTTGGGGTGGGGACCAGCCCAGTGGGCACTGCCCACCGCTGCTGCCGGCACGGACACACGGAGGGGCAGCAGAGGGGTCGGCGTGGGGAGGCTGCGGCTCCAGCGCGGGCGAGTCCGGCCCCAGGCTCGCCTCCGCTGCCCGCCGCACCCGAGCGCGCATCCGCATCCTCCTCGGCCGGGTGCGGGCGGGGCGCTGCGGGCAGCGGCGGCGGCGCTGGTGGCGGCGGTGCCGAGGAGCCCGGCCCTGCCCGTGGCAGCCGGCGGCGGCGGCGCGGTCTCTGCCGCCGGGCTGGCTGCCAGCGCCGCCGTGCCGCCAGCGGCAGCGCGGGCCGGCCTCGGAGCGCCCCGGGACGGCGGAGCGGCGTGGGGGCAGAGGGGCCGGGGCAGCGCGGGTGATGCTGCCCGGGTAGCGCCCTTCGGGGACCTCTGAACCCCTGCCGGGATGGACTGCGGCCGTGGGCTGGGGGGCCGGCCGGTGCCGAACGCACCGGCAAGGGGAGGGCGCGACTGCTCGTTTCCTATGCCAGGCAGTGGGAAGGGAGCCAGCAGGCTACTGCGGGGGGAAATAATTATTTTGCTGTAAATACTGGGATAAAATAACAGTGGTGTTTGCATGTGGTGGAATAGAAGGAATGGGAACCCCTTCTTCCCAGCATCTGAGACGAGTCTCAGGCTCAGGGTACAATCCTAACAGAAGAAAAGGGCTTGCAGGGGCATTGAAAGACCTTTTC